CTTTTAAGTGACCCGATAATACAGATAAACTGCATAGGAGCCTGTGAAGAGAGATTCCTTTGCTGGGACCATGGGCAAAGCCTGTTCCACGTCATGCGGCAAGCAGACCTGGTAGAGGACACGAACCACAGCAGAGCAGGCAGATATTGACGATCTAACCCTTGAGCAGCGAGGAGAGGGCTGGTCTGCGGAATCTGGCCATAGTCTTGAGAAATTCTGTTTGGTTCTTGAGGGAGAGGCCTTAGATCCCAACTGGGGAGGTTCAAAAGGTCGGCGAACCAGTGAGGCTGAGGCCAAGCCAGCAATAAAAACGGCACAATCTTGTGCGAGTCACAGATGTGTATCGTGCGCACCTAGGGACCTTTCAGAACCACTGGCTCAGGACCTGCCCCTCCTGGGCAGGGCACTTCAAGCTGGCTTACCAGTCAAGGGGTCTCCCTCACCGCGCATGTTGCTCCGTACAAGTGCTCGCAGACGACATTGTGGTGATGTTTTATCTCACAGGCAGGGAAGGGGCCAGGGCAGACCCCTCACACCAAGAGGCGTTGGCCCTCTGGCATCGCTGCATCAAGAACAGAATCCCCCTTTGAGCGACTCGGCACGCCCTGGCGCACTGCCTCAGCAGGTCGTTCAGCAGCGATCAGAGGGCCAGAGAAGGTAGAATTGGAGCAAATGGGAGCGCTGTGGCACATTGGCAGGGCTCATCCACCTGTTCAGGGAGGACCGAAGGGCCACACGTACGCGCCAGCATCTCCACAGATGATAGAGGGGTGCTAGACAGACATCAGTCACAGCTGCATGACTCAGGGGACGTCTGGCATGCGGAGTTACATATGTGCGAACTGCCATGAGTCCTGTGGAGAGAAAGTAGTGTATCTGCAGGGGCGGTGGGTGAGGCTACTTCCTCTTTACGGTGGTGCTCTAGCCCCCCAAAGACTTCAGGGCTGCCCTGAAATCGCTAGGAGTTTGCAGAGCCTGATCTGGACCTTCCAAAGGCAGGTCCTCTGTTGTTCGTGGCACTTCAGCCAGGATGCCCCAAGCTTGCAGCAATAGCGGCCATGATCATCACCTGAGCTCACGTGGACTCACCTCCTCCAAAGCAGCATGCGGAGAGGAGCGGGCAGGCAGACAGCTCTCATGTCCTGCACGTTCTTAGCTTGTAGGGGACAAGGCTCTGATTCAGAAAGTTGAGGAAACAACTAGGGAGACGTCCATTTTGGATCTGGTTTTGACCAACAGGGATGAATTAGTGGCAAAGCGAAGGTGGTTGGGAACTTGGGAGGAAGTGATCATGGTCTGATAGAATTCAAGATCCTATGGAAAGGAGGCCATGAGAACAGGAAAACAAGGACACTGGACTACAGAAAGGTGGATTTCAACCGACTCAGAGAAGTAACAGGCACGGTCCCATGGAAAGACCAATTAGGAATAAAAGGAGTTAAAGGAGCTGGCAGGTCCGAAACGGTGTAATACTAGATGCTGAACATCAAGCTATTCCGATGCAGAGCAAAGATAAGAAGAGCCACAGGAGGCCAATGTGGCTGCACAAGAAGCTTTTTAGCCATCTAAAACTCAAGAGGGATACATACAGGAAATGGAAGGAGGGGCATGTCATCAAAGAAGTGTACACGGGAATAGTGCGAGCGTGTAGGGACAAAATCAGGAAAGCCACGGCAAAGAATGAGTTACAGCTGGCAAGGAATGTTAGAGACAACAAGAAGGGGTTCTTCAAATATGTCAGACAAAAAAGAAAGATCAGGGATGGTGTGGGAAGGCAGAGTTGCTGAATGCCGACGTTGCTTCAGTCTTCTCTTTCTAGCAGTGGAGATATGTCTGCAGATTTTGCATCTGTTGTTCTGGCAGGGGCTGGTGCCGCATTGAGTTGGTGTGTCCTGGTCTGTGGGAAGCTTGCTTCTGATGATGAGCTTGGAGAGGTTGGGGGATTGTTTGAAGGCCAGCAGTGGGGGTTCAAGAGAAATTTATTTCAGGATGGGGTCATCCTTTGAAACATTCGTGGCCTCTCTGTCAGACTCCCCTTTGGGGAACCAGCTCCTGGGATGGGGAAGGCAATGGCTGTAGCTGTTTGAGGATACCCTGTATGGGTTGCAGCGTGGGGTGGTAGGTGATCACTAAGGGTGTGGGGGTTTTATTTCTGTATTGAAGCAGGTTCCCTCGGGGTATTTCGGTGGCCAGTTCCAAGATGCAATCTACTTCTCTGGTAGAGTGTCCTTGTTTGGTGAAGGCGGTTTTGAGTGTGTTAAGGTGTATAACTCACACTTTCTCCTCAGAGCATATACTGTGGTATCTGAGTGCCTGGCTGTGGATCACAGATTTCTTGGTGTGTTTGGGGTGGTTACTGGATCTATGAAGGTAGGTGTGGTGATCCGTGGGTTTCTTGTAAATGCGTCTGACGAAGTGGGTATTCACCCACAAAAGCTTATGCTCCAATACTTCTGTTAGTCTATAAGGTGCCACAGGACTCTGTTGCTTTTTGTAAATAATTGTCTGTAGAGTTCCATCATTGAAGCTGATTGTGGTGTCCAGGAAATTGAGCTGGTGGGGGAGTGTTCCAGAGAGAGTTTAATGGACAGGTGGTGGTTGTTGGAGTTGTGGTGGAAATCCATGATGGAGTTTAAGCCGTCCGTCCAGAATATGAAAATGTCATCGACGTATCTCAGGTATATCATTGGTTTCTTGGTACATTTGTCCAAAAATTCTCCTTCAAGGTGGCCCATGATTATCATAGAATCATAGAATATCAGGGTTGGAAGGGACCTCAGGAGGCATCTAGTCCAACCCCCTGTTCAAAGCAGGACCAATTCCCAACTAAATCATCCCAGCCAGGGCTTTGTCAAGCCTGATCTTAAAAACCTCTAAGGAAGGAGATTCCACCACCTCCCTAGGTAACCCATTCCAGTGCTTCACCACCCTCCTAGTGAAAAAGTTTTTCCTAATATCCAACCTAAACCTCCCCCACTACAACTTGAGACCATTACTCCTTGTTCTGTCATCTGGTACCACTGAGAACAGTCTAGACCCATCCTCTTTGGAACCCCCTTTCAGGTAGTTGAAAGTAGCTATCAAATCCCCCCTCATTCTTCTCTTCTGCAGACTAAACAATCCCAGTTTCCTCAGCCTCTCCTCATAAGTCATGTGCTCCAGCTCCCTAATCATTTTTGTTGCCCTCCACTGGACTCTTTCCAATTTTTCCACATCCTTCTTGTAGTGTGGGGCCCAAAACTGGACACAGTACGCCAGATGAGGCCTCACCAGTGCCGAATAGAGGGGAATGATCACGTCCCTCGATCTGCGGGCAATGCCCCTACTTATACAGCCCAAAATGCCATTAGCCTTCTTGGCAACAAGGGCACACTGTTGACTCATATCCAGCTTCTCGTCCACTGTAACCCCTAGGTCCTTTTCTGCAGAACTGCTGCCTAGCCACTCGGTCCCTAGTCTGTAACAGTGAATGGGATTCTTCCGTCCTAAGTGCAGGACTCTGCACTTGTCCTTGTTGAACCTCATCAGATTTCTTTTGGCCCCAATTAGTGATAGTCGTTGAAGTATAGATTCGATAGTGGCATCAGAGACAGTTGACTCGTGGTTCAGGAGTGACTCAAAATGCTCCTTCCATCTGGCTTTGATGGCTTCGCTGTCCTTAAAACACATTGACCCATCTTGGGCTCGGTGTGGCGTGGGACCATGGGAGCATGGACCATAAATGACTCTTATTGCCTGAAAAAAGCTCCTCCTGTCATGTTTATCAGCATAAAGCTCAATCTCCTGGGCCTTTTCTCACCACCACTTATTTTTGATGTCGTGGATTTTCCTTTGGGCTTCAGCCTTGAGTTGCTTGTATGACTCTTTCTTCTGCTGGTGTGATATGTCGTTTTGCCACATGCAATGAGCTTTTCTTTTCTCGTCGAGCAGGCCCTGAATCTCAGCATCATTCTCATCAAAACAATCTTGGTGATGGTGGATGACATAGTCAATGGACTCAGCACATGCCAAGGGAATGGCAGCCTTTAATCCCTTCCAGAAATGTTCATTATAATCATCAGCTGTAGGCATAGCGCCGAACCTCTCTTGGAGATACTGCTGAAGTTTCTCCCAAGTCACTGTATCTCGAAGGGACTTGATGCTGAATTTCTTTCGTACTGATTTTGCCTATTTGTGATGCCTTCAGGTGATCTGGAAAGTCATGATTGATCTAACAAGGCAATGGTCTGTCCAACAGTCATTGGTTCCACGCATGGCTCTCGTGATGCAGACATCCTTCTGATCTCGAGCTCTGACAAGAACATAGTCAAGAAGGTGCCAATGCCTGGAGTGAGGGTTTCTCCAGGTGGTCTTACACTTCTCACCTTGTCTAAAGAGGGTGTTTGTGATGATCAGGCCATGTTCTATGCATTTCCTACTCCTTCTTTTCTGATAGAGCAATTCCAGAGATCTGACTCATGCCGGACTGTTGCGTTAAAATCTCTGGGGAGAATGATCTTGTCCTCCTTGGGAATGTTGGTCAAGACTCTGTCAAGATCTGTATAGAATTGTTCCTTGATATCCTTGACAGCATTGAGTGTTGGGGCATATGCGCTGATGACAGCAGCAGACTGGTTGTTGCTGAGCTTAAGACAAATAGCCATAAGACGTTCATTGGTTCTTATAGGAAATTCTGTAAACTGAATGACAAACTTATTCCTAATAGCAAAACTGACACCATGAATGTGCCTGTCCTTTGCAGATTTTCCTTTCTAGAAAAAGGTGTAGCCTCCACCTTCTTCTCTCAGTTGACCTTCATCTGGGCACCTTGTCTCATTCAGGGCAGCGACGTCAATGTTATATCTTGCAAGTTCGCTGGCGATGATAGCAGTTCTTCTTTCCAGCCATACATTATCTTTGTTATCCATCAGGGTGAGAACATTCCATGTAGCAAAAGTCACCATCTTTTTATAGCTTCAAACACAGGCAGATGCCACTGGCCATGGTAATCCAGCCAGGAGTGGAAGAGACAGCCTAGGTTTAGGGCACCTTTTCTAGCCCTCTCCCAGTGCAGGGTGAGCAGAGGGGATCCTAAAGAGAACTGCTCAGTTGCAATAGCAGCTGCCGAATTGCACCCGTCTCAGTCCAGGTGCCAGACGTCCATCTAACTACCGCCACCTATGCGCAGATTCGTGGTTAGGAACTGCCAGATTCACTAATCCTGTCCCCGTCACCACTAGTCCATCGCCACAGGGCTGGGAAGGTTGCAAAGATGTTATTTCCCGTGATAGATGCCTGTGCGCGACTTCTTTTAGCATGGGGAAGCTGGTGCACCTACAGCGACCACATGATCATGACAAGCTGGAGGTCTGGGGCCCAGTGGCAGGGAAAGTCTGAGACGACTGGAGATCTCTAACTTGCTGCAGCCTTCATCTGCTTTCACAGCCTTTGAGATCCGAAGACCTTCTTCTGCTTGATCCACCATTGAGGACTTGGGGGATTGGACCGTGCTTTGTCTGGGACCTCCCCTCAGACCTGTTTGCCTTGGGAGACCCTACCAGGAGCATAAAGCTCCCGACCATATAGCTCTGAGGATGGACCCCTGTGTACTCCTGTGCACGCTGCCAGCTGACATCAAGAAGTCTGTGGGTCACACCAGATGATCTAATGGTCCCTTCTGGCCTTAAGCGCTATGAATCGCCCATGCCAGTCACAGCACTGAACAGCTGCTGGAGAGAGAACGGAAGTCAGCACCGTGCCTCTCCACTGTCGCCCCCTTTCGACCTGTCAGACTCAGGGTCCTTCTCCCCTGGCCAGGAGGCCAAAACCCAAGGGCCAGTTAGGTCCCAGCTCCTCTCAGAGCCACTGGGAACTCTGGACCATTCCTGGTAGGACTGAGCTACGTCTTTGGAGCAGGGATATCTCTGGGCAGCACTGGATGGCCCCTATGCTAAAGCCTATACCAAGAGCAGAGACTTGCCATGAAAAGCCGCTTCCTTTTACAGCCTGGGGTCCCCGCACCAGGGGGCCCAGCAGACACTGCTCTCCAGAGGAGCTCACGAGCCAGAGACTTACCCTGAATGGGGATCCCACCACAGAACAGCTCATCAGTGACTGTCCCTGGGGGAAGCTGCCAACCCTGACAGTGGGCACAAGCCAAGGGACCATACCTAGCCAAAGGAGAGAGACTCTGACCCCAGACCCCCAGCAAGAGTTGGGGGGAGATGCCCGCGGAGCAGAAATGGCTGAAGCACATTCTGAGGCGCAGAGGGGCAGTGAATGGGGCTGGCGTCTGCAATGGAAGATGGGGACTACACTGGAGCATGGAGATGAAGCCCCTCCAGCACCCTGTGCTCAGCCCTGCCCCTTCCTCCCCAAATGGCCCAGCCAGGCCAAGTCCTGGAAGAGAGGGGAAGAGCTAACCCTGCTTCACCCAGCTCAGTGTGGGGGCTGTCGCTGATCCCTGGTAGGGAGCCCCAGGGGGAGGAGCAAGGGGGGAGTCTCATGGGAGCTTCCTGCAGGGAGATGGATTCAGACAGGCAGTGTCCCTGGGGGGTGGGAATCATAGAATCATAGAATATCAGGGTTGGAAGGGACCTCAGGAGGTATCTAGTCCCACCCCCTGCTCAAAGCGGGACCAACCTCAACTAAATCATCCCAGCCAGGGCTTTGTCAAGCCGGGCCTTAAAAACCTCTAAGGAAGGAGATTCCACCACCTCCCTAGAGAACCCATTTCAGTGCTTCACCACCCTCCTAGTGAAATAGTGTTTCCTAATATCCAACCTAAACCTCCCCACTGCAACTTGAGACCATTGCTCCTTGTTCTGTCATCTGGTACCACTGAGAACAGTCTAGATCCATCCGCTTTGGAACCCCCCTTCAGATAGTTGAAAGCAGCTATCAAATCCCCCCTCATTCTTCTCTTCTGCAGACTAAACAATCCCAGTTCCCTCAGCCTCTCCTCATAAGTCATGTGCTCCAGCTCCCTAATCATTTTTGTTGCCCTCCGCTGGACTCTTTCCAATTTTTCCACATCCTTCTTGTAATGTGGGGCCCAAAACTGGACACAGTACTCCGGATGAGGCCTCACCAACGTCGAATAGAGGGGAACGATCACGTCCCTCAATCTGCTGGCAATGCCCCTACTTATGGAAGCCCCAGCGCTCGGTCCCTTACCTTTCCCCAAGGCACGGAGCGGCAGAGTGGTGCTCAGGTAGAGCCGGAAAGAGGGCAGCACCTGCACCACCCCGAGCGATTCGGAGTGCAGGGTGCAGCCCCCCGCCCCCAGCAGCGTCTCCTTCTGCAGGAGCTGCAGGAGAGCCGGGCAGCAGGGGCTCCTCTCAAAGTCCAGGAGCAGGATGGGCAGCCCTGGGGAAACGGCCTCAGTTACCCCCTGGTGCGCCACCAGGGTCCAGCTACTGCCCCACCACCGGCCCAGCCCGACCCCCCTCGCCTGCCCAGCCCCCCACAGCCTGACTGACATTGCCTGCCCAGCCCCCTACAGCCTGTCCCCACAGCCTGCCCAGCCCCCCACAGTCTGACCCCCATCGCCTCCCCAGCCCCCACTGCCTGCCCAGCCCCCCACAGCCTGCCCCCATTGCCTGCCCTGACCCCCACAGCCTGACCCCCCATTGACTGCCCAGCCCCCACTATCACCTGCCCAGCCCCCCACAGCCTGCCCCCATGGCCTCCCCAGCCCCCACCGCCTGACCCCCATTGACTGCCCAGCCCTCCTCAGCTGCTCCCTACCTCCTGGAGGTGACAGGCCCCGGCGTGCAATAACCATCTGACTCAAAGAATGCAGGCCTGGACCTGCCGTCTCTGGGGAGCTCTGCTGGGCCCCCAGCACGGTGGAGGCCAGTTGTCTGCAGGGGGTGTGTGCTGGGGGCCCAGACCCAGAGGCCAGGTCAGGCCCAGTGGCATGCTGGGGGCATGTAGTGTCTACAGCGCGCTCACACGCCCGCCCTTACCGGTGCTGGCTGCAGCCAGGAGGTTGTGCTCCAGCCTGGGGTCTGTAGCCGACAGCACCTGGAGATTTTTCTCAGGTGACTCTTCATTGCTCCCTGACTCCTCGGCACTGGACAGCGTGTCCGAGCCGGCGAAGAGCAGGGACTCGTCTGGAGGAGACAGGAGAAGGTTCCTACTCGGATCCTGAAAAGGGGCTCCCAGAAGGGCCCTTCCTTCCCTAAGGCCCCGGTGGGGCTGGGGGAACTTTTCAGGAGACTCCAGGAACCTGAGCTGTGCAGAAGGAATAACCTCTCGCTCTAGAGCTGCTGGCACCTGATAGCAGAGGGCTCATTCACTCCCCACCCAAGGCAGCTGGGGAGGGGGGGCTGGTCCCAGGCCTGGCTTCTCATTCCCCTCACTCACCCTCATCCGCTTTCTGTGCCATGAGGAGCCAGGTGAGGGCCTGCTGGTCAGGGTCGAGCAGCAGGGACCAGCAGCGGGAGCAGGCGTGAGTGTCTGTGCGGAGCAGCAGGGCGGCCTGGCGCCCGGCCCAGTCCTGCGGCTTCTGGTCCCTGTCCCAGGCACGCTGCTCCCTCTCTGAGCTCAGCAGGGCCAGCAAGCTGAAGTCCTGGCGCACAGGCAGCAGGGCTGGGCCCCGGGGGGCTGGGCCAGGGCAGGGCAGCTCCTTCTCCAGCAACCTCCGCACGTCGTCTGGCCCCAGGGAGCTTTGGCGCCTGGCACAGATATCCTGCCACTTCTCCAGCAGCTCCTGGCGCCGCGGCGGGGGGAAGGCGCCCATGTAGGAGAGAGCGGCTGCACAAAGGAGTGCGTCCCCCTGGGCCGTGCTGCAGTTCTGCTCCAAGTGCTGTCAGGAGACAAGGCAGGGTCAGCAGGGAACCCCACCCCTAGCGGAAGCCCTGCCCCCAGGCCCCGATCCCTGCCCCCTGGGGGAGAGCCTCACACCCAGACCCTGCCCCCATGGGGGAGCCCTGCTCCCAGACTCCGCCCCCAGGGGATCCCCACCCCCAGACCCTGATCCCCACCCTCAGGGGGAGCCCCATACCCAGACCCTACCCCTGGGGGAAGCCCTGTTCCCAGACCCCACCCCTGGGGGGGAGTCCTGCTCCCAGATCCTGTACACCCCAATCTCCACTCCTAGCAACCCCTGCATCCAGAGTCTATACCCCGATCTCCAACCCTCGCACCGAGACGGACTAACCCTACACACGGCCCCCTCCCTCCAGCCAGAGGGAGCAGATCCTAGAGCCAAGAGGTGCCGCTGCCTGGCTCGGACTGCTGCAGCCCAGGGCAGCTCTGGATTTGGCCTACAGGAGCTCCAGAGTACAGGGCAAGGAGAGATGGGGAGTCCCAGGAATGGATGGGGAGAAACATCCCAGAATCCTTTGCACTGGCTCTTTGGCTTCCTGGGACGCCGGACGCCCCGGGCATCGGGGAGGGGAGGGGACGAGGCTGTCCCGGTCGTTACCCGGGACGCCGGCCGCCCCGGGCATCGGGGACGGAAGGGGACGAGGCTGTCCCGGTCGTTACCTGGGACGCCGGCCGCCCCGGGCGTCAGGGAGGGGACGGGACGAGGCTGTCCTGGTCGTTACCCGGGACGCCGGCCACTCCGGGCGTTGGGGACGGGAGGGGACGAGACTGTCCCGGTCATTACCCGGGACGCCGGCCGCTCCGGGCGTCGGGGAGGGGACGGGATGAGGCTGTCCTGGCCGTTACCCGGGACGCCGGCTGCCCCGGGCGTCGGGGACGGGATGCGACGAGGCTGTCCCGGTCGTTACCTGGGATGCCGGCTGCCCCGGACGTCAGGGAGGGGACGGGACGAGGCTGTCCCTGCCGTTACCCGGGACGCCGGCTGCCCCGGGCGTCAGAGAGGGGACGGGACGAGGCTGTCCCAGCCGTTACCTGGGATGCCGGCTGCCCCGGACGTCAGAGAGGGGACGGGACGAGGCTGTCCTGGCCGTTACCTTCACAGCCGCTGTCCAGTTGGCCACGTGCGTTGCCACCGAGCTCTCAACGGTGTCAGCCTTCTCCTTCTCCTGCAGGACGTGACTGAGTTCGCGGGCCAGGGCCTCCTGATGCTCGGTGGCCTGCAGCAGCTCCAAGCCCCAGCTCGAGCTCAACTCGTTCAGCTTCTCAGCCTGCAGGCGCCGGTCGCCCAGCCGCCCCTTCTCCGCCCGAATCTGGAACTTGCAGTGCTGCAGCTGCATCAAGGTGGGCTCCCAGATGCGCAGAGCCCGGTGGTACCAGTAGATGGCGCAGATCCACTGGCACAGGGCAGCCGCGGCTTTGCTGACGCTCTGCAGGGAGGCAGCGCAGAAGCTCTCGTCCGACACCACCTGGCCCAGAGCCTGGAACAGGTCGTTGGGGAGCTCGTCCTTCGGGTAGAAGAGCAGCTCCTGGAGAGCAGAGAGGAGAGGGGTCAGGCTGGGCTCGGGGAAGGGGACTCATGGCGCACCCCAAAGCCAAATCCTGACCCCCACATAGTAGAGCCCCGGGTGGCCCTATTTGTTAATCCCGCCCCACACTGGTTCTTGCATTTTATCCCACTTCCCCCAGCAAAACCAGCAGCTCGCGACTCCCGCAAGAGAGCGCGAGTCCCCCATCTATTAACACCCAAACCGAAGCATGGCCGGGTCAGACATGAGCTGCAGACACGTGTTTTACATGGGAAACTGAGGAGGGATTTACTGTTTTCCTGCACGTTCCTGCCATGGGGTTGTTTTGCCCCCCACAAAGTGCATGTTATCCACCTCAACTATTATGGCAGGCAGGGTTGCCATAGATTCCAGGGATTGTCCTAGAGTCTCCAGGAATTAAAGGTGACTCTTTAATTGAAGCTTATGTCATGGGATGGCCCCTCCAGGAATACGTCCAACCAAGACTGGCCACCCTAATGGAAGCGGGTCCTGCGGGCCCCCAGTCCCACTGCAGGGCTGTACCACAGAGCTCCCCCCAGAGCAGCGGGCTCTCCTCTGCCCCCGGCAGGTGAGGGACATTGCACGGCATGCCCTAGAGACGTGGGGGATGTGATGAATGTGGGAATGTTTGGAAATGGTTTTACGAACTATCCATCTGTCACGGACTCTTGTCTATGTCCTTGGGAGTCACCCAGGACCCACACAGCTCCATGGGGACAGGCCTGTGACCTCCAACACTCCAAAATTGGGCCTTCGGGTGCCAGCGACCCCTGTCTCCCGCCATGGTTGCCTGCAGAGAATCCGGCCAAGCCAGAATCCAGTGGGAGACTTATACTGTCCCCTTCAGGGTGCAATGCTTGTGTTGGGGGGTGTTGGCCCCTCACTGACATTGAGGGGGGGTTGATTGGCCCTCTCCCAGGACCAAAAGGAAGGGGGAGGGTTGATGGGAAGCCAGGCCCCTGAGACTGACAGGCCCCACGGGCAATGGGGAGAGGCCAACACTTCCAGTCAGCCTGATTGACAGGGCAGGTAGGCCAAGGGGGGGCCTGAGCCAGAGGGGCCGAGCTAAGGGGGGAGCAGGGGCCCGGGCTGAGCGCCTGAGCCGCCGGCTGGGCAGAGTGAGAGAGACCCTGGGCAGAGGTCCCAGGGCAGGGAGATGCCCCCAGGCCAAGAGGTCTTGCAGCCCAGACTGGGAGGGGGCTTGTAACCCCCACGGGGGGGGAGGGGGGGCTGCCCCCTAGAGCCTGAGGGCGTGTGGCCACCGCCAGAGACAGTGTCCGACCTGCGGCACAGCCAGAGCCTGGGCAGGGCCTGGGCCGGGTGAGGAACAGACTGTGCACTGCCCTGGCATTCCCTGCCACAGAGCGGGGTGACGGCTTTTCCCTCCACCTTTCCCAGTTTCTACTTATTTTTAAGGACTTGCTGTGTAATAAATCGTGTTTGCTTTGAACTGTATGCAATGATCAGTGGGTCAGGACAGAGCCCCCCGGAGTGGGGACGCCCAAGCCCTGTCCTAAGTACGACAGCCAGATTGGGGGTCGAGCCCCAGGAATCCTGGGACCAGCCTGGTCGGGGGTCCGAGTCAGGCAGGCCGCTGGGTAAGGGAGTGGGAGCGAGGACTCGGCTCCTTTCACTAGCCCGTTTCACTGGGGTGGTGTATAAGCCAGGAAAGCTCCCCACAACAGCAGGACCATTCCCCTGATTACACTCTTAATGAGTCTGTGCAGCACCACCAGGCAGCCTTCCCAAACAAGGTAACAATTTATCAGTCACCTGAAAGTCCTTAGGCCATCACAGAGAGGCAAAGGCTGAGAGTTCAGACTGGCCCACGCCAGGGCTCCCTGGAGCCAGGCTCCTGTAGGTACCATCTTCCCTTCCTCTGTCTTGGTCCCTTTCTCTGTCTGTAGCCAGCCCCCTGTGTCTCTGAGAGCTGGCCCTGACCCCTTGCCTTGTTTCTCCAGCTTGGGGCCTTTGCCCTGCTTTCCTGCCGAGAGGTGGGGGAAATGGCCGTCCTCTTGGCTGTTGGTTGCTCGGTGTGACTGTCCCAGCTATTGGGGTTTCTATTGTCTCTTCAGATCCTCCATTCACGTGTGTAGACTTTATTCAATTTGTTATTGACTTGGGTTTCCAACCAGGCTGCTGCTTGAGTCAAACCACCTCATTCCTGCCGGTTCCATGCCGGGCTTGTCTTCACAGAACCATCGAATCGTAGGACTGGAAGGGACCTCGAGAGGTCGGCTAGTCCAGTCCCCAGCACCCATGGCAGGACTCAGTATTATCTAGACCATCCCTGACAGGTGTTTGTCCAGCCTGCTCTTAAAAATCCCAAATGACGGAGATTCCACAACCTCCCTGGGCAATTTATTCCAGTGCTTAACCACCCTGACAGTCAGGAAGTTTTCCTAATGTCCAACCTAAACCTCCCTTGCTGCAATTTAAGCCCATTGCTTCTTGTCCTATCCTCAGAGGTTAAGAAAAACAATTTTTCTCCCTCCTCCTTTCAACAACCTTTTACGTACTTGAAAACTGTTATCATGTCCCCTCTCAGTCTTCTCTTCTCCAGACTAAACAAACCAAATTTTTTCAATCTTCCCTCATAGGTCATGATTTCTAGACCTTTAATCATTTTTGTTGCTCTTCTCTGGACTTTCTCCAATTTGTCCACATCCTTCCTGAAATGTGTCACCCAGAACTGGACACAATACTCTAGTTGAGGGATGTGGGGCAAAATCAGTATTTGGTCCTGCTAATGAAGGCAGGGGGCTGGACTCATATGACCTTTCAAGGTCCCTTCCAGTTCTAGGAGATAGGATATCTCCATTAATTTTCTATTTTCATTTTTTCTAGTCAGAGGCAGAAGAATTACTTCTTGTGTCTTGCTTACAATACTCCTGCTAATACATCCCAGAATGTTGTTTGCTTTTTTTGCAGCAGTGTTACACTGTTGACTCATATTTAGCTTGTGATCCACTCTGACCCCCAGATCCGTTTCCGCAGTACTCCTTCCTAGGCAGTCATTTCCCATTGTGTATGTGTGCAGCACTACAGTGGTGCATGCATCATTGGCACCGGAGATCAGCGAGCAGTGTCCGCTGGTCACACCTGCTCCCCTGATGACCTCAAGCCTCTACTTCCTCGAGTGTATGAAGGGGGCTGAGTGACCAACCAACCCTCAGCGCCTGCTCCACTATCAAGTCCAGGCGATAAGCCTTGGCAGTAGCAGGGAAAGGAGAATGGCTTGTGGAAAAACATGTAGACACCACACCTCAGAGAACTCCAGTTACTAACAGTAACTTTCCTTTTCTCTGAGTGCTTCTTTACATGTGTTCTCTTCTGGTGGCTCCCAAGCAGGATATAGTAGATGGAGGAGGATACTCCAAGTCTAATTAGACAAAGACTGCAAACACAGCCCTCCCAAATTGGGCATAGGAACAAGATGCATGACCCAAAGAGCAACAGTGAAAGTATGTGTACTACTCAAATAGCAACCCTCCATAGAACAGTGATGGGCATTCCCCTAAGAGAGGCTGCAGAAGTGGCCTGGCTCTGGGAGAATGTGACCTAACATGACCTGGGAGTTCTAAATTGGCCACATCACATAAAGAGTCTCTGAGTCAGACTGCCTGACCCTTGGCTCTCTCGGCAATATGAACAGCCTAGGGAACTCTGCCTGACTCGTTTTATTCCAGGCAGATAACATGAGAGAGCTCAGAAAGCAACGACAGTAGGTAAGGCAGCACCTCCGTGGATTAAACGAGGCTTCAGGAAAAAGGAAGTAAGTGAATGGTCTGACTGACGTGAAGAGCAGCGAATACTTGGGGAGAAATTTAGGGTGTGGCCAGAGTGTAACTTTATGCTTGGAAAAGTCAGACATGAGGTTCCCCCACGGACAGCTTCCAGTCCACAGACCCTACATGCTGATGTCTTGGCAATGAGCAATGCCATCTTCACAGAAAAAGGCCAATGTCATGAATGGGGGTCCCATCAGACCTGTACGTACCACATTCAGATTCCACGAGGGAGGGTGTTCGCTTATCAGAGGGGAAACTCTCACAAGACCTTTCACAAACTCTTTGACTGAAGGATGAGAAACAACAGCATGATCCTGAATTGGTGAATGACAGCCAGAGAGAGCAGCCAAATAAACACACAATGTGCTTTGTGACAAAGAGGAGGTTTTTTAAAGGTAATAGACACTCAAGGATATAAGGGACTGGTGTCTCTCTTGGGGAACAATCATGTTGGGAAGCCCTGGATGAAAAACGCTTTTGTTCTGCAGTACAAATTGTCCTTGCGGACTGCTTTCTGTGCTGAATCCATAGGCTCTGTACATCAACAGAACAATTCTTCTCCACGCCGTGACAAGACATCTGGATGAAATGTTCCCATTGTTCTGAGTAATCAAGTCTGACAGAAACGTGTCAACACTGCAGGTGTCACTCAGAGATTTCTGATTTCCATGAACCAGTGCTGAGGCCCTGTACTGTTTGACCTTCCTTCACACATGGAATTGGGGGATAAGCATACAACAGGCCCTGAGCCCAAGAGATTAAGAAGGCATCTCTTTGAGAACTTGGACTCTGTCCTCTCTTGGAACAAAATACTTGGCTTTCCTGTTCTGTTCAGCTATAAAAAGATCTATGTGGGGCGCACACTCTGATTGACAGTGGACTTGACACCTGAATCCTTTGTGAACCATTTGTGATTCTGAAAATGCTGCTTAGATGGTCTGCGAACATGTTGTGTAGGCCTGGAAAATGAACTGCCATTAGTGTTACATTGTGCATTGCTTTCCTGCACCAGAGCATTGATCTGGTTCCTCCCTGTTTACATAAAACATGGCAGTGGTATTGTTGGTTCTTACGTGCACACTCAGATCTTTGATATGAGGTAGAAAGGTTACTCCTGGGGGGATTCTGTACCACTGAGCATGTGCAGAATTCATGTTGCCCGCAGATTTTTCTTCTCTGCAGAAAATACACTCTGCCAGAGAGGCACTGCAGTTTCGCCTTTCGCCCACTAGGGGCTACTGTGGCACCAGAACAGAGGGCAGCCGGATCACCAGCCGTAGCAGCCAGCTGCAGAGAAGGAAGAGGAGAGGCTGCGTTCCTTACAGCACCCTGCCTGCGGGGCCAGGGAAGGAGACACTGGATATGGGGGGGGCCGACAGAGCAGGGCACATGGGCACTGAGTTTCAGAAGGGCTAGTGGAGGGGACAGACTGGGGAGGGAGCTGAATGGGAGTGGGGGTGAAGTGCCACATGGGGCAGGCACATGCATGGTCACATGGGGATGGGCTGGCTAACTGAGGGGGTACAGGGCCACATGGGAACAAGGGGCAGCGGGGGGTGCATGGGGGCAGCTGAGTGGGGTGCAGAGACACATGAGACTCGGGGGTCGGGGGATACAGGTCCACATGGGGATGGGGGCAGATATGTCTCACTGATTGGGAGAGGCTAGGGGTCAGCCAGGGTCTTCCATACTTCTCCCACCCACACCCAACAACCCTCCAGGTTCACACTCAGGCTCCTTCCCAGCAATTTACTTCCCTCCCCTTCAGCGCCTCAGTTACTCCGACTCCCCCAAGCCTTTGCACTGCTTCTGAGAGGGGCGGGAAATCCAGTTCTGTATTAATATGCCTAGTAAGGAATCTATTTCTCAAAAACATTTATTTTTTGTTGTCTGTATTGTTACAAACTTGCTGACAGGTATTTTGAAATAAATTACCCAAATAATTGAAACTGACGCGATGATATGGTGTTATTTTAACCAAATAAAATATATTGAATTTTGCAGAATTTAAAAATATTGTGTGCAGAATTTTTTATTTGGTGGAGCAGAATTGCCCCAGGAGTAAAATGCCACGCAGGTAAGTTGTATCATTTTGAATTTCAGGACGTTGCTATGAAGCCAAGCCTCTCTTCAAACCCACTGACACTGTACTGCAGTGGTTCCCAAACTGTGGGTTGTGACCCCATAGGGTTGCATCCTCAGCAGATGGGGTCGCAGTGATCACTAGTGTATGGAGGGCACCATTTTGCTCCACACAGCGTGACCTTGCATGTACGGTGTGCGTGTGTGACGAACTGGGACTGTTCTTAATGTGGTCTGTGAATGCTGACAGGGGAGTGTGGCTAGGATAGTCTGCAATGCGGGGATGGGAGACTGACCTACGGAGAATACCTGAGCATGTAACATGAGAACCCAGGAGGGGGCTGGGGCCAGGTGACACCTTTGCCCGGGAAACTGAACAAAGGCTGTGGGAGGGGTCGCTGAAGGCAGAGTCTGAGAAGGTGGCTGGTGAGGTGGCTGGGAGGCAGGGAGGGCTCTGACCTCCGGAGGGGGGCTGGGGTGCCCGAGGACCCCAAGATGGACCTAACTGAGGGGTATCCTGTTGTCTGTGCCTGCAAGACCTGTCTTGGACTGTATTCCCGTCGTCTAAATAAACCTTCTGCTTTACTGGCTGGCTGAGAGTCATGGTGAATCGCAGGAAGCCGGGGGTGCAGGGCCCTGAGTCCCCCCATATTCCGTGACAGCGTGAGGTTACAATGCATGGAGGATGCCATTTTGCTCTTCAAAATGGTAACTTCCATGCTGTCTGGGGTTCCGGGAGGAAAGAATTCATTAACATGGTTGCGAAACTTATCATGTCTAGAGTGAACCCAAACTGAAGCTTATTACCAGAGCTGGAGTTAAAGATTCAGATAAAAGCAAGTAAAAGGATTTGGAAAGTTTTGTTCTCCCCAGAACTTCCCACCAAATCGGTAGTGACCAATGCTTCATTGCTGGGTTGGGAAGCCCATCTTGACAACTTCACAATACAGCAGGAGTTCGCACACTTGTTCCTGGCCCTATCGGACCAAAATGTGACACACTCTCTCAGCTTAGAGCTGCAAATTTAAGCAAATAAGAGATGTGATTTGGTAAAAGACATAATTTTTTTGTTAACTAATATAGATTTTGTCATATTAAAGAGTTAAAAATATTCATAAATATTAATAAAAATATATCGGTTCTGATGGCACAAGATTAGACCTTGATGAACGTGTCCTCTCATATTAGCTGATTATATAAACAAACCACCACTAGTGGCAGGTGCTGGATCAAGTGCGTGTTGAAAGGTAGAGAATTGTTACATTTTAGTGACTTTATAGTTTTATGTCTAGTTGACTAAGGAATTATTTATGTGTGAGAATTCCTCATTATTATCTTCATATGGAAGCTAAAAGAGGTGACTGGTTGGCTGGTTGAGCCCTAGCTTGGTAGCTTGGCCATCATCATAGGCTTTCGTAGTCTCTAGGCCCAGATTCAAGGTGAAAATTTGTGAGGACGATCTTGTACAGTGAGTTTCGTGAGGGGACACGTTTGAAATTTTTGGACATTATACCTCTGTCTGTATTCGTGTCTGTGTTTACTATATATATGTCATCCCTTTGTCTTCAGCTCAGCCTGTTATATTATACCTTGCATGCTTGAGTTTTGATTCAGTGATAAGGATAATAACCTTTCTAACTGTTTCATTTTGTATTTGTAGAGGAAAATTGAGTAGGTCTAAAACTTTGGTCAAGAAAACTGTGTACATGCTAAAGTCTGGTCAGGCTGTGTGTACGTGGTCAAAGGGCAGAAGGAGGGGGTAAGGAAAATTACTAACAAGACAATTGCAACAGCAAATCTTGAGAAAAAACGGTTACTCACCTTTGTAACTGTTGTTCTTCGAGATGTGTTGCTCATATCCATTCCAATTAGGTGTGTGCGCGCCGCGTGCACGATCGTCGGAGAATTTGTACCCTAGCAACACCCGGTGGGTCGGCTGTGGAGCCCCCTGGAGTGGTGCCTTCATGGCGCTGGATATATATCCCAGCCGACCCAGCGCCCCCTCAGTTCCTTCTTGCCGGCTACTCCGACAGTGGGGAAGGAGGGTGGGTTTGGAATGGATATGAGCAACACATCTCGAAGAACAACAGTTACAAAGGTGAGTAACCGTTTTTTCTTCTTCGAGTGCTTGCTCATATCGATTCCAATTAGGTGACTACCAAGCCTTACCTAGGCGGTGGGGTCGGAGTGAGACATCGCTGAGTGCAGAACCGCTGATCCAAATGCAGCATCGTCTCTAGATTGCTGTACTAATGCGTAGTGAGTGGCAAAGGTATGAACGGATGACCAAACTGCCGCTCTACAGATCTCATGGATCGGAACCTGAGCCAGGAAGGCGGTCGAGGAGGCTTGAGCCCTTGTGGAGTGGGCGGTGAGGCGTGGTGTCGGAACACCGGCCAAGTTGAAGCAAGCACGAATACAGGACGTGATCAAAGAGGAGATACATTGCGAGGAGAGCGGTAGGCCTTTCATCCGGTCAACCACTGCAACGAAGAGTTGAGTCGTCTTCCTAAATGGCTTCGTACGCTCGATATAGAACGTGAGGGCCCTGCGTACGTTCAAAGAGTGCATACGCTGATCTTGTCGCGTAGCGTGCGCCTTAGGGTGGAAGACCAGGAGAAATATATCGTGGTTCACATGAAAAGTTGATACCGCTTTGGGGAGAAAGGCAGGGTGGGGGCGAAGCTGCACCTTGTCTTTATGGAAGACTGTATACGGAGGTTCCGACGTGAGGGCTCTGATTTCAGAAACACGCCTTGCTGAAGTGATGGCTACAAGGAAGGCTGTCTTCCAAGATAGGTAAAGGAGCGAGCAGGTAGCCATTGGCTCGAACGGGGGCCCCGTGAGCCTGGAGAGAACCACGTTAAGGTCCCACGCCAGAACCGGTTGACGCAGTTGTGGGTATAGGCGATCTAAGCCCTTTAGGAATCTGACGACCATCGAGTTAGAGAAGACCAAGGAAGCATGTTCTCCTGGATGGAATCCCGAGATAGCTGCCAGGTGCACCCTGACAGATGATATCGCCAGGCCCTGCTGCTTTAGGGATAGGAGATAGTCCAGTATAAGTGGTATCGACACCTGCAAGGGGGGCGTTGCACGCTGCTCGCACCAACAGGAGAAGTGTTTCCATTTGGCTAAGTAGATGGCCCGAGTGGAGGGTTTCCTGCTGCCCAACAGAACCTGCTGCACGGAATGTGAGCAGAGCAACTCTGCCCGAGTTAGCCATGCAGCATCCACGCTGTAAGGTGGAGTGATTGCATGTCGGGGTGACAGAGTCATCCGTGGTCCTGGGAGATTAAGTCCGGCCACAGTGGGAGCGTGATCGGAGGCTCTACCAACAACTCCAGGAGTGTGGTGTACCAGTGCCTTGGCCATGCTGGAGCGACCAGAATCATGCGTGCCTTGTCCCTGCACAGCTTGAGCAGGACCTGTGGACCAGCGGGAACGGAGGGAAGGCGTAGAACAGCTGGTCTCTCCACGGCAGTAGGAAAGCGTTTGACAGGGAGCCCTGAGAGAACAGAACACTTGGCATTTTCGGTTGACGCGTGAGGCGAATAGGTCGATGTGGGGAAACCCCCACCTCCGGAAGATGGCGTGGATGATATCTGGGCAAATCGACCACTCGTGAGATTGGAATGACCTGCTGAGGCGGTCCGCCAGTGTGTTCTGGACTCCTGGGAGAAACGACGCTATGAGATGTATCGAGTAGGCTATGCAAAACTCCCACAGGCGAATAGCCTCCTGGCATAGGGGGGACGATCGAGCTCCCCCTTGCTTGCTGATGTAGAACATGGCCGAGGTGTTGTCTGTGAGGACTGCCACACAACGGCCATGTAGGAGATCGCAAAACGCCTGACATGCTAGGCGTACTGCCATC